ACCTTCAATCTTGGCTTCTTCATATGGTAATTTGGGCTTTGGATGTATCTAGTAGAACTTGGTACTGAGGTTTTGTAGTTCATTGAAACTGTCCTTCCAGTGTCATTTCGTTAGAGTTCTTGTTTGTTCCCCTGTAGGTTCTTAGTCTTCATTTGCAATGTCTCGGAGTTCCTTAGTGAAATCCCAAATCTTAAGAGTTCCTTTCTAGAATCTTTACTCTTTTGATATTAGACCCTGATGTGTTTCATTTTAAACTCGAGAATTCCTTCATTAGAACTGGAGTGATGTAGGCATTGGACTTCTTAGATATTTGTTTTCAAAATAATTGAATATCACATCACCGAATTAGTGGTCAAACTATATTTATTGTCAAAAGTTGCTTTGGATTTTCTAAACATTTTTGCTCAAAATCATGTCTATTTGACTTGTATACCTCCCTTATATACGAGTGTTTTTCTGTCAAAGTACCTTATTAGTTAAGATGATTTTCTGTGTCACTATTGTTCTGATTTTATACATTTTTCATAGAAACTATCATTTATAGCATATATGTGAATATCAAAGCAGAATTATATTAATTTTGCTCAAACAAATATTTATTTTCAAAATTTCAATTAATGATTCTTCCCCTTTATACATTTGCTCATGTTCTAAGTTGAGTATTCAACTTTCTTATTTTATGAGTTCCAGACTCAAAATTTTTATCATTCTCCTCACTGCCATTCAAATTTGAATTTTTCAAAGACGTTTCAGAATTCCTTTTCAAATTCTGCATCTAATTTTTCCAAGTAAAGTTTGATTGCCTTACTCATAGTGGGCTCCTTCATGTAATCATAATTGGGTTCCCGTATCATGCCATAATTGCTCGAATCCAAAACCTTCAGGCCTGCGGGTTTGAGACCTTCATCGAAAATAGGTGCGCTGATGTAACTACCACCATCCAAATCGGAAACGATTTCAATCTCTTCGTCAAAGATAGATGTCATTGCCATATAACTCATCCCCCTTTTCGGGATCGAAAGGAGTGAAGGAATTCAACTGCACGTTGAAATCAACAACAGACTACTCCTTACATTAGGCACCGCCGGCGTGATTGTTGTCCCAAATGTGAACCTTTCTTTGTTGCTGTTTTAAAAGTACAGTCAACTGCTGGTTCAGAAAGTCTGTCTGCTTACATGTGTGCCATCTCTTCATGCTCGATCTCCTCTACTCGTGCTTTCCCTATTCAGGTTCCAATTTCTAGTAGCTATGATCAGGAGCGTAGCCAAACATGTGATCAAACTCGTTGATTCGCGCATGAATGCCAAGAGATTGATTGTCTTGAAAGTTTCAAAGACTCATTATTAATCAAAAACAACTGACATACAATGAAACCTACCTCTTGCTTAAATAGTTTATCCTACTAAAAACCCTAATGACTAAAATGAAAAAATAAACATGAATTAAAGTCTTATAATAGAACAATAAATAAAATAAAATAAAATACTAGATAAAATAAGCAATGAAATAAATGTTGATCTTGTGGACATAGAATTTTTTGGAGAATGTGGTTGAAAATAAGGAATTTTTTTTGGGTTTATGTGTAACATTAATTTATTGGAGAATGTGTTTTGAAAAAATGTAAATTTGGAAAATTGGAGTCCAAACAAGGGCTAAATGTTTAATTTGCAAATATAAAATAAATCAATAAAGTGGCAAATAATAAATTCTAAAATTAGTAATCACATAAAAAATCGTAATTTACTTCTACTACTCGATGTCGAAACAACCTAGAAGTCCCATATCACACCTACTAATAGAATAATTTAGAGAATAGTTGCTATACTTGATTCGCCTATCACTCTCCTCATCACCATTAGTTTCTTCCCATTATTTGTCATTATCCTATGTCTATAATGGTGCATTATTTTTGCCCTTCCTCTTTTGTGTCGAGGCATAAAAAAAAAAAAAAATTAAACTGTCAAATGTTGTACTCTCTTAAAAAAAAAAATCCTTAATGCTGACTTGTATAAAATGCATAGCATACACCCTAGTCTCCTCTAGGCATTGCATTGCGGCACAATCCTCAAGTGACACTTGTGGCATTCGATGAAAGCCTCATGTGAGGCGCACCTCAAGACTTAAGCCTCGACTGGCTTTTTAAAAACAATCCAAAGATGTAAATTGTCATTCTTTTAGTTTATTGGCGTGACATTCACCCTAAAATTTCTTCTCACACCCTATCATGTGTCTTTCCCGATAAATGGCCTGTCTCTCTACGCTTTTAGTTTTTCTTTACTTTCTTAAATAAGCGAGTTCTATAACAGATTCTCACAACTAATGGCTGATTTTTTCTATGAGACTTGTAAGCTTAATAAATTGATACTTTTTATGATTCTAAATATCTTTTTATTCTAGTAAATAAGTGCAAAAGACTCATCCTCTATTCATTGAGCATCATTTAATCTTTAGAATCTCATTGATTAATTTTGTAAGCCCTTGAATACCTGCACTCTTCCTATCTCCTGTGGAAATTTGTCGTTGCCTTACTTCTTTTAACATGTCCATCCTTTTCATAACCTGCAACACTTACGAAGCCTGGATCTTTTAATATTGCTAACATTCCTATCTTAAATAGAGTTTCACTCATCTCCAAGTTCATGGATATGCCTTTCATTGAATGATGTGTCAAAATAATTCTTATATCTTTATTTATTTTACGTGATCTCATATCATAAAATAGACTCTTTAATTCTTATCTTCAGTGCAAGTAATTGGTTTAGATCTTTACTTCCCTTTTCCCTTTGTCGATATACCCTGTAAACAGTTTTCTGATCATCCTTGGATTCGATAAAACTGTGCATTCCTGTAAGTTTTTTCCTGAAACTCCAGAAGCACTCTCTTAATTTCCGTTTGGCTAACTTGACTTGTCTAAAGCCTCTGCTTTTATATTTCACTGAGAAATTGGAAAAAGAGATGGAGAATAGTTTTGGAAGAATAGGCGGGAAGGGGAAATAAGAAACTGGTCTCAGAAGTTAGTAATTATCGATATAATTGCAAGTTACAAAATTGGGTACTCAGCATTTACGACCTACAGAAGCCAGAAAGGAAGGTATTCCCTTCCACTAAATGCTTTGTGGTTTTTAATATCCCACTAATTTTTAAGTTGATATCTGGGAGGTTATATCAGATTTGATATGGGATGCTTTTTGGTGTGATTAAAACTGATCAAGTTACGAATATCATAAAACAGCATGTTAGAACTGTTGTATGATAATTTTGTGATACTAACATGTACTCTTTCTCTAATCTGCTGGCACACTGTACAATGTTCGTATAAAAGTAAAAATGGAGGAGTACAAGAATAACCACCACCTTGTCAGGAATGAATGCTGGGGGAACTTTGATCTGGTAAGTGTCCACCTTTTCAATTGAGAATACTGGATGTTGCCAATTGCAACGAACAAGAATAAGTAAGAAGAGAAAGGAAGAAGAGAAAAATGGGGGGAAAGATTGTGATTTTTTTCAATATTCAGGTATGTCTAGTTGCAATCAGGAAGTCCCTTTATATAGGTTCTAAATCATGACTAATAAGGAAAATTAGGATTTCCTTTTACAAAATCAATTTATCAAAATCAATCAAATTCAATACTGGAAAATACTACTCTAAATGATTTTAATTCCTTTTATGCCTAAAATGTACATTCCAAGTTGCATCACTCACACATGCAATCATTGATCAATAACTTACATATTATAGATATACAGTGACCAAGACCAACTGGACTTTTAGTAGCTGTTATAAATCAAACATGAGACTGCGTATTAAACAGAGGCTATTCAAAGATCCAATGCTTACATTACGAGTCTTTTGTAAGCAGAACTAGTATGAGCTGTTACTATGGTTTCTAGCTGAGCAAGGGTTAAAATTGTCTGTACTTCACGCAAAGTTCTTGCTGCAGATATCTGGAGTAGATATGTATGCAATTGTCTTTTTTACAGGAGTACGTGAGGAGGCTGCGGGCTTATATTTTTTTATAATAGTTATACTGGCAATTGAATGCAGCAAGTTTGAGGGGGAATGGTGGCAGTGCAAGGTTTACACTAATATGATGTGTCCATGATGCATTTGGGAAGGAAAAGCTGTTTTGCAAAGGAAATGAATGGATGTTTTGAATCTCATATTTTTGTACAACCATTTTGGTGCTTATCTTATAAAAGACTTGGAAAATAAGGAGTCTTTTTATTCTCTCACTTGATAATTGAAGTTAGACTACATGCCTTGTTGTTTCCTGCTGTGTTCATTGCATATCCTGTCAATCTATATGTCCTATTCCATAGAGTTTTTGTATGAGAAAGAGATGACAAATGGAGATCTTCATCTAGAGATTGATTCAAATTATAGAATCACAATGCTAATAATCCTTGCTGTCATCAAGAGGCTAGCTCAGGATAATTATCATTTTTGGTTTGAATGGATTCTGGAAGTTTCTGATTTGATGCCTTGATAGCTGCAGTACTGGATCATTAACTCTGTTCGCATTTTGCAATAATTGCATCCCATGTATCACCATGATCATCCATAAAAAGAACCCCTTTCAGGAAGTCAACTACCCAGCTACCAGGGTGGTTGATATCATTTGAAGAGATATCTAGCTTGTCTTTCATCATTTATGCCCTGATTTCTGTTTCACGAGGATCATCTATAATATATTGAAGATTAGTTGATTATGTCTTGCTTTAAGGAGAGATGATACCTTTTGAATATGTTTATATTCTCTGATTCCCCTCCAAAAATTACAAACTGCACCTTTTAAGGCTGTGTACCATCTTTATCAGATTACGGAGTATGATTTGATGCTACTTTGTGGGTAAATACTTAATATGCCCTGTTTCAAAAAATTCTATCATTCGTCTCTCTTGAGTTTGAGGTTAACATAGGTTGAGAGCATGGATTGCTCTGTGAAACAGAAATTGCTTTGTCACTAAAAGTTAACGTGTCCCTTTTATTTGTGTTGCAGGTGGACAGCAATCACTCAGTTAGCTCATCATGGGATGCTATTTGTTCCCATTGGTTATACTTTTGGCGCTGGTATGTTCAAAATGGATTCCATTAGAGGGGGTTCTCCATATGGTGCTGGAGTCTTCGCTGGGGATGGCACAAGCGAAGCAAGTGAAATGGAGCTGGCCCTGGCAGAGCATCAGGGCAAGTACATGGCTGTGGTAATTAAGAAGCTAGCTCGGGGTTGAAAATTTTAGCTTTCGAGTCATTTGAACTTAGATTCATTATTTTGGTGTTGATATTTGTTCATTATCCATGTTTTTGGGATGTCCCCTATATTCGGTACTTTGATTGACCCTCCCTTTTCTTTTTGGAAATTGTGCATATTTTGCTTTATGAATGGTTGGATTATAATAAGTCGAGTGCCTAGAGTTGTTGCTTATGTCATAAATGTGAAATTATCTTATTTCTGTTTCTGTTGGGTCAATGCTTATTATTATGTTCTTGTTATGCGGCAAGGCCATTATCAGTTCTTATGGCATGATTTGTGAAATGTTAAAAGGAGTTTTTGAGATCCAAAAGTTACTCTTGGACTCGTTTGATTAATTTTATAAAAGTGTTTCTGCTTGTTAAAAGAGTTTTAAAGGAAGATGGTACAATGCGACTTTTTCTAAAAACACTTTGGGAATAGGAAATGTTTTTAAAAATTGGTTATCAAATAAAAATTAAGATAGCTTTTTCAAAATCTCTTTTATAGGAAGTAAAAGCAAAAATCATGTCAAACGAGTCATTAGTTTTACTAGATAATTGAGTCAAATACTAACAACTCAGCTTGAACTATCTAATTGGTGAGAGTCACCTTCCTCATTATCTTTGAAGTTTCGATCATCTTCAATTTTGAGTATACGCTCCAGGAAGGCCGAATTTGCCGTGTGATGAGTTGCATTTTTGCATTGAATGATGTAGTGCATCATTAGTAGAGATCGTCACCAGTCTGTTGACAATGGATTCCATCCAATATCATAATATAGAGTGAACAATCCATGCAAATCTCCTTGATAAAGATTAGATTTTGGACTCTCTGTGACTCTGTCACGAGAAGAGAACTTTGAATTTGGCTTTTTCCCCTTTTAGATAAAGTTAAATTAAAAAATAGTAATGAGGATCTCCGCCGAAAAAAGAAAATGTTTCTTACATCGAAATAATTCTACACATGTTTTTCGGCTGTTGAAACTTTTGTGAATTTATTGATTTGGTCTGGAATCCATGAAAGTGGGCATCAAGATGTATGGCTGGCATCGAAGACTGATTTTGAAGTCAATTTTAACCATATTTTCCAGCGCCAATTATGAAAAAAATTGAATGCAATCTGTTGTAGTTTAAGAACATAATAAGGGTAGCATGTCATCCAGACATGAAAAGAAATTAGCTACGAAACCAAGATGGATCAGGTGATGCAAATTTATGATACTAAGCCTCTTTTTGGGCTCCATTTTGATTTTAATGCATTTTTCTTTTTTTTTTATCTAATCACATTTTTTTAATAAAATAATATTACACGTAAATTCAAAAATTTTCCTTCTTTTTTAATCTCTCCAAAAAATCATTATTCTAAAATAAGTTTTTTTTTCTTTTTCTTTGCACAATTAAAGATGTAATTAAGGGAAAAAAATGCTAAAAAAAATGAAAGGTAAGGACGTTTTTCACAATAATAGTGAAAGATATGGATATTATCTGCTAATTATCATTTTAATAATTTATTTGGTACTCATTTGCACCTTTTTTTTTAAAATCTGGAACTATGATTACAATTATTTCTTTTTTTTATTATTTAAGTAAAATGATATATTAATTATCTCATAGCTTTTAATTCAGAAAATGCATGAAAATGGCATTTTGCACAAAGAAATGTGGAAATAGGGTAAAATTGTCCAAAATTGAAAGGAAAGGACCTATCCTATAATAATAGTGAAAGATAAGGACGTCGCATGCTTATTATACTTTTTAATTTTGTTACCTAAGGACTTCTGAGATTTTAATTTTTTTTTTAGTTTTATTATTTTAATTAGAGAGTATGTATGTCTATAGATTAAATTTATTGTATAATAAACTTTTCATATTTATTCAAAAGTTTGATCTATATATTCTGTCAATAAAATTAATTGGATCAATTATTTTATTTTATTTATTATTATTATTATTATTATTATTATTTTTATTTTTATTTTTTTTTTTTGAAAAATTTGGGATGCCTTAACTAATTAATGTGCGGCCTTGGCCTCAGGCAACTGCCTTGCATGTCTAGAGGTTGAATAGGATATGATTGAGAAGTTAGATGATGGAGAAATAAGTAAAAATGGTTAATTTAGATTTCCAAAACTTCTTCAATCCAAGCATTGCTCCAAAGATTTTGCCACTAATGCAATTTGACCGGATTTTATCATGCTGATGTGTTGAAGGAAAAAACATTTGTATAGAGCTCCATCCAAATTAAGAAGCTTAGTTAGATATGTTGATTCAACAAATTTAATAATTTTCTATCTATAGTTACATGTAATTTTATTTTTATTTTAAGAAAGCAAATGCCCGAACTCATTAGAGATCAGTTTTGAAGTTGACTGTGTTGGAAATCTACTTATACATGTACAATGGAAAATTAAAATTATTTCAATTCCTACTGAGGATCCTTTTGTATTTAGATAGAAATTGTGATAAAAATTGTATTTTTGACGAATTCTGCAAACCTTTTGCTTTTCTTTTTGTTCCAGCAATTTTGATTCGCCACCCACAGCTGTTCAATTGTCCAGCATCCAACGGTGATCCACACAGAGAATAAGATTGTAGCTACCAGGGGTTTTCCTCTTGTGCTAGCAAGAATAATGAAAATCATATGAACCTCAAAACCTAGCTATGTATTTATATAAACCCAAACGGGCTCGACCCGGTCCGGTCCAATATTTAATTAATCCATTTAATTAAACCTGGTCCGTAAATTAATTAATTCAATTAATTAATTCGGGAATATAAATAACAAATTCAATTAATTAATTTATCCAACGATTGTTAAATTAACCAATTGGCAATTTGCAATCTTCCAATTCTCTTTTGTGTGCGACCCATTAGGTTCCCGACCACGATGCCTAACGACGTAAAATATTATTTTGATCTAATCAAAATTGATAAATTAAAACACCCTTTTAATTTATCGTCATTTCACATTCGTCGTCTCTGATTGACATCTAGCAATGTGTCAGGGCAATACATGTGACGAGAAATGTCACGTGGTATGACAAAACCAAATTCGTTTATCGTGATACTATAATCCCTTCGTTAATATGATCCGATCAATTACGAGATATGAAATTGTGTCAATCCCGAATTTCGATCATATCTTTCACTCCACTATTAAGTCAATATAAATCGAAAACTCCTTTTCGACTTATGAGTACACCTTGGCCAATGATTTCGTTATCGACTTAATTGAATGAAACGCAGATCATAATCTCCTACTATTTAAGAGTGACGAATCCTTTATTGGTCACTCACAACCTTCATACGATTCTTGACGTACCCAAACGATATCGTATTAGCGGGCCTTTGCAGAGCAACATTCAACACCACCAAAGTATGACTGTCCTCATATAAGGTACCATGACGACCTCAAGTCTAAGGACCAATTCCACTACCGAACGTTAGAGATTAACCATTGACACTCAGATAGTTATCCATGTGGAATCTCTCGACGGATCTCCAATGTTTTGTTCCATAACAAAACATCCACGTGTCATTTAAGTGTCACCACACTTTAGCTTGTGAGATCAGCTACTTACTTCACAAGTAAGAAATGCCACACGTGATGGTCTATCCGTAATAACGATATCCGTATCTCGTTATTACTTACGACCACGGACGATTTAAGATTCAATCAGATGTAATTTATATCTCACAATCACAACTCTTTGTCATTAACAAATTACGAAGATTTGAATCTACGGACTCTATTATTTATTTAATTGTCTATTAATTAAATAATAGATCTGCCATTAAATTGCATTAATTATATATACAAGTATTTATGTCCAAAATTAATTGGACCTAGGGTATAATACTTACAGACTGTCTATTCATTAAACATCAATATCATGTAGATCGGAAATTCTTCTACTTTCATGCCACTTGGATACCAATCAATAGAATGCAATGGAGATGTTCTTAGTAGGTCAAGCAAGCAATGAAGAGTGCTGAGTGCATAATGGAAAAAAATGTTTTTATGTAACCTTCCTCCAATTTTATCGTATATAAGTCTTAATTTGTCGTCGTTATGTACTTTAAAAGAGTCAAAAAGTATCTTTCCAGAATAGAGTCCCATAGTTTCATTCGAGTGAAATTTCGGCAACATCTATCAACGTTGACTTGAGCCTACTTGCCTTGAGCATCGCCTAACACGACACTCCCCCAGTTGCAAGTCTAATTTATGTGGTATTTGTTTGATCTTAATAAATCTCTTTCACCTTCGTACGACATACAAAACCCCTTTTCGTATTGTCATGTTTCGAATAACTTCTTGACAAATACTTCATTGATAATCTTATCAACAAGTCCTAAGTTTAGTTGTTTACTAATGAATTAAGATGGAATAAATCTCCATATTGCGATGGGGTTAAGTAGTTGGTGGTTGAAGGTTTGAGGATGCTTGTATTTATTAAAGCATTAAAACGCAGTTTCTAGTTGGCTGTCCTTCATGAAATTTTTGAGTAATTGCTATGAGAAAATGTTAGGTGACTTGGACCCAAATTTTAACACGTCGTGTGTTTCGAACTCTCTTGCAAGTGTTGTAATAAATCCTTTGATGTCAACCTATGAGAACCCAACTACTTTCTGTTCATCATCTACATTCTACAACTTTCTTGCACCAACTTTTTGAGGGATGAGAGAATGGAAAAAATAGATAGCTTTTCGAGGTTGCGAAAAATTTAATTGTACTTGATCTTCCGTGAAAGTAGTATTATTAAATCTTAGGGTTTCATTTCAATATTGATCTTGTTAACTAGAGGAGCTGAAGTCGTCGTACAAAATTGTTGCTTGTACAGAAATAGTAATGTTGAAGTTTGACTACCCATTATCGAATTGCTCACTTGAGCGTTGTTTTTGGCACTAATATGATACTAGGTCGAGAGATTTTAAATGTCAACTTTTTTAAGAAAACTAGAACGAATTTGATTATTGATTTCGTGTTTACTAAAGAACGATAGAATGCAAAAAATAATTCATTTATCAGAGCTCAAGAATATAATCAATTTTTTGTTTGCCCAAAGAAATCGAATGGGACGTGTCCGAGTATGAATTTAGCATATGAACATAAGTACAAGTAAGAATTTAAGAATGACTGTAGGTAGGATTAGCTTGTCAGGGTAACGCGCAGTTGGGAAGCTGGGATGGCTATTGGCTGGCTTGTTAATGTAATGTATTTATTT